CGAATTAGTGTCTTACTTTTGTAATTATTATTAAACGAGATTACGGTGATATCTTATTTTAGTTTTGCAAACTGTAATTATAGAAGGTACCTACATGATGTTTCTTTGTTGTAGGTAGTTTTGATGTTCCTGAAATTTCTCGTGTCGTTTTTCATCATAATTTACGAAACTAAATCACTAGCGGCGTGTAATAGACGTACAATGGCAAAGTTACTTATTCTCAACGCATATTTAAATGTATAATTTATAAAATATGCGCCCATTTACTTACTAGGTAGGTACGCATTGTTTTAGCCGTTCAATTGTACATATAATATTATAACACCTAAGATACATATATATATATATATATAAGAATTGTAGACGATTGTAAAAAAAAAAACAAAACAAAACAAAAATTACAGTTTGTCTAAATAATTATCTCTTAAAATATAAAACGTAAGGTACTCTTGACCGTCGAGTACTGTTTTTGCGTATTCCACGTTTTTATTGTTACGATGCATGGCGACGTAGTAGGTCTGTACAACATAATCAAATATCGATTGCATACCGCACAGTATAATATAATAATATATTGAATATTTCGGAAATTTAGTACCACCGTATTATAATAATAATGTACCGTATATTTTAATGTCGTTTTCAAATTTAAAACCTTTTTTTTTTTTTTTTTTTTATGTATTATAAATTAGTATTTGTCCCATTTTGTGTTAATAATTTGAATTTCGTAAATTATTAAACTTTCGAATCATGAAGTTTGATTGTGTCAACATAGCTACGGGGTACCTAAACCCCGGTATACCCGTATGCTTTATCGCACCCTAAACATTTACTTGTTCACATTTTTTTTTTTTTTTTTAAAACTGAGAAAAAATTATTATTCATTTAATATGCATATCACGTATGAGTTGATGCCTAGAAAATTAATAAACAAATCAAAAATCGTTTACAGTTGTCACGTGTATTGACATTTCGTAAAAATAATGAATACCAGTTGTGTACAGTGTACATTACATCCTGTCGTCATTATCGGCATTCGAAGTTGTCAAATTATTTAGAAAAAAGTGACGGATTAGCCAAGGGATCGTTTTGAAACCCGTTTAAAATGCATACCCTCGAACGAATATCGGATCGCGATGGCGTCGTTTTCGGTCGGTGCGGTATAAAGAATTTTGAATGGCTGGATGATTGGACGAGTGTAAAAAATTCGGTGCCGAATTTAGAATTTAATGTAGTGCATATTTTAGTCCGAACGTAACTTCCCGCAAAGGACAATCAAATGATACTTTTACGAAAATACGTGCGAAATGCCGGAATTTTGCAATTCAAACGTTTAGACTACACGAAAAGCCCTGGAATAAGTTTTTCAAGTTTTAAAATCTCTGTATTTCTTTATCCTGGCGACACACGTATAATATTGTGTGTCGTATAATTTATGAACTGCTATAAAATAAATTAAAAATAATAAAAACGAAAACATTTTCAGCTTTTAAAACCACTACATTTATTTATCCTAAAAACCTGCAAATCGGCCTTTAAAATAAATCTCCTAGCTTTAGTTTTAGGAATGTTAGGCGCACGCCCCGAACCAATGTCTGTCACCATCAACAAACGTTATGTTTTTACATTGTTACATGATATTCATTTACAAAGTGTATTATATTTTTCCGATTTTGAAACTGAGGGCGTTTATTTCGGTTTTATTCAGCGTGTTACGAACGTTTTTCGTTGATTTGTTATACAATCAGTTCATAATAATGCACTGTTAACATTCAAAATTTAATTTTAAATTGTATTGAAAATACATTATTTTTCTCGCGTTACAATTGAAAATAAGCTATCCGATAACAAATCGCGGTTCCACAATAATAAACGGGGTTCGGGAGGTTTTTTTTTTTTTTTTTTTAAAACAAATTTGTGATACATTCGTGTCGGTTGTAAAACGCGTATAAATCTTTTCTGTGCACAGTACGTAACAACATAAAATGGGGTACCTATTTCGAAACTGAGCGTAAGTCACCCGGCGGTTCCTATAATATGTTAAGTCTAGCTCGAGGACCTTTATTTATGTCGATCTAACGACGGAATCCCGGAGGGCCGGCCGGCGCAGTAGAAATAGTTAATCGGTCGCCACACGTTTGAATAGGGTTAGGTATATATTTATAATAGTATCGGTAACCCCTGTTTTTTTTTTCTTACGGACCAGGTATATAAAGCGTATCGGATATTTATGCGTCGAGTAAATCTGTCAAGGGTTGACACTTTTGACCCGTCCCGGGTAAAATCAATCTGCTCGGTACCGTAATGATCCGGAGAGAGAAAATTGTCTAGAATTTTCACACCGTATACGTTAAACGACGGTGCAGATTCCCCAAAAGATTTTTAAAACGAATTTCAATTGGTAACGTTACTGACAAAAGTTTACCGGGTTCACAGGTCTTGTTCAAAATTCATTTGACCGTGTAGATATTTGAAATTTAGAACATATGTGAACCGCCGAGAGTCCGATAAAACATATTGAAACCGTATTTTTTTAATTTCAATTTCTATAGGGGAGCTCAATGGTTAACAATTTGAACTATGGAAATTTGGGCATTTTTACCGTGTCGATTTCTGGATACAATAACAACTATTTTAGTTAGCTTATAACCAATTAAACAAACAACACTCAGAATTTCTTCATGATGCTTCCTACCTACAACCTCGGCCTGCCCATTTTTTAATTTAATTTTATACGTATCGATTTTTGGAAATGGTTCTTTTTCAAGTAAATATAATTATTACTTACAAAGACAATAAAACATAAAAAAGAGATTTCGTACCAAACTTATGATGGTTGAAAATACATTTTAGATTTTGATTGAAGCGAGGCTTTACTATAAGGAGTATATGTTTTAATTTTTTTTTTTTGGCTATTCTCCTAGAAATCTTGTTCCAATTTAAAATATGACAAACCTTTTTTGTTGTATTTTAGCTCCAGTTAGTATTTTAAGAAGGTCACTTTTTGAAATTATCATTACTATTCGAGATAATGAGAAAAAACTGGTTCTTCATATTAAAAAAAGATTAAGGATTAAAAATTAGGTTGTTATTGGCAACGGTTTTTTTTAAATTTTTTGCTATTATAAAGTTTATATATTTTTGTATATTTAATCTATTTTAAACAATCGTTGTTGTAGTGATAACGCACATTGTCGACAAAATAATACTATTGACCGAGCTCCGCTCAGGATCGTTTTTCGTTAGCAATGATTAACCATCGTGTAGAGATATGAATTGCCCTCTATATCCTACCTTCCCAAATTCTCACCTAAAACAGTGGCCATAATCGTTCTCAGTATTAGCTCTTTTTTTTCTTTTATGATTAGTAAGTATTAGTTATATTTTATATGACCACATTTAGAATAAATATTGAATAAATAACTATAGTAAAATATATCATACTTGTTTAATACATAGTTGTATCAATCAGAAAAAAATCACTTTTTTTATAAAATTAATATTCGCCAGTTCGTGACTTGTTATTATGCTAAAAATGTGCATTATAGTAAAAATTCGCATGTTTCGTAAAGTGTATTTCTATCGTTATTAACATTATTATTTTTTTAGTCGGAAAGAAAAATACTTTTACAGGGTTTCTTGAACATGGATTTTGAAAATCATTTCTATAAACGCTCGAATAATAAGTGCGTTTAAACGTGACCGACTTTCACCGGATTTAAACTCGCTGTTTTCGTGTTTTTTTTTTTTTGTTGCATAATCAAAAATCGAATTATTCTCGTAGGTCATTTTCTTTCATCTGAATAAAATTATTTTTTGTTTCAAAATAAAACCGATTGTACACTATTTATGTAGACATTATTGTCCAATCGGTTTTAGTTTTAAATAAAAAAATCTTTTTTTTTTCTGGAGAAAAGTAAACTTCCTACAGAGTAATTTTGATTTTTTTTTTATCATGTTAAGGCTCACGTGATTTATAAAAAAAAGCTCACGAACAGCTATAGGCCCCGTAGCAATATTTTAATATAGTTTCACTACAATATTTCTCGGAAAACCATCAGACATTTCCAGTGCCGGATCGAGAAGTAAAACAGACCGAGTTATAATTTGATGCGGTCCCACTCTCGATAATTGAGTAATTTTTTTCCTCACAACATTTGATTAATACTCATTTTATTTTTTTCTAAATTTATAAATAGCAGTGTAGACCTCAGTGAAATTAAAAATAAAAATAAAAAATAACAAATTACGTCAATTGATACAATTCTTGTATAAAATAATATTATTGACCAAGTTCATCGTGAATGATAGTAATGTCTATGAGAATATAATAAATACTAGAGTTAGGATTTCGTAGCTCTTTAAAACTGCAAAAAAAGTACTTAAAAAAAAATTGAAAAAAGCACTAAAGATCTAAAAAAAAAAAACACTTTTGTAAACTATTTTATAAAACCCACCTTACAATGTATAATAAATTAGTTTTGGTTTTTATTTTATTTTTTATTATTTTGTAGCTATAATGTATGAGTTATACATATAACACGTTACAGTTAGTTAAATATTCTAAATTGGAATTTTTATATTAAAAGTTTCTAATTATCATAGAAGTCAAAAAATAAAAATGCTTATGAAAAAAAAAAAAAACTTAAAACTACAAAACAATAGCTACCATTGAGGCCAAATGTATAAGAAAAAGAAGGAAGTTTCCTACAATCATCGTTAATTTTTTTATAAGTTTAGAAGATATAAAATTTTGGTTTTTTTTAAAGTAGATTATTTTTGTCAACTTTATCAAATGCACTATTCTAAATATTAGGTCTTAAAATATATCATAACAACAATTTATTTCAAGATCTTTAATCGTTATAATAAAAGCTCTCGGGAGGATTAAAAAAAAAAAAAAAAAAATTGATGTTTCGATAAGATAAAAAGAAAAACTATAGATAAATAATATTTTATTTTACTTCTCCTACTATTCTTCTTCTTCGCTTTTATCTCAATTATTTGAGATCTATCACCTTCGTTCTAAACTTCCACTTGGCCCGATCTAACACCTCACATACACCTGCTGTCCTCAAATCATTTTCAATCACATCCAACCACCTCTTTCCATTCTTCATTATTTTCTCCCCGTGAGCATGCGCAAACCATCTCTGTCTAATTTCTCTCATTTTATCTACTAACGAAGCAACGTCTAAGCTACATCTTATATACTCATTCCTTATTATACCTTCTCTCGCCATTACACTCATGCGTCTAGGCATTCTCATCTCTACTGCACTCATTCTTCGTTCTATTTTTCTGATTATAGCCCTGCACTCCGAACCTTACAACGTAGTTGATTTCAACACACTTTTGTAGAACTTAATTAAAGTTTTATTGAAATTCTTTTATCAGATAAAATACCTAATGTTTTTCTTCACTTTATCCAATCAAACTTAATTCTATGTTTCATTTTCCTCATGAAAGCCACCGTTCTTTTGTATAAAAAAAACTCTTCAAAAACTCGTACTCTGTTTTAATTCTACTTATTCTTAGTCACTTTTCTTCAAGTGTTACTTCCATTCTCCAAGCGTTCCTCTGTGAAAGCGTTCCTCCAGATGTTCTCCTATATCATCTGCAAACATCGTGCACTATGGTACTTTCCATCTCACGTGTTGTTCCCGCGCAAATCCGATGTGGGACAACTTGCCAAAGTCTTGTTTAGAATTCCTTGTACTGTTTGGACAGATTTTTACACCGGTTTTCTGTTAACCTGACGCAACCGCATTTGTCGCCTCACAGGCCAGGTAGAAGTATCGCGGGAGTATTCCGATCCCCTTCCTTTGGGAGAACAATACTGTCAACTATAAAGCGAATTCCTCCACACTACAGATACCATATGCCATATGCCAATCGGAATCACCCGGGCTTTCGACCGATAAGAGGTAAATCCGCGGTATCATAATGATATTTTCCCCCGAGGTGAATTAAAATGTTATTTTACTACGGACTAAAATAGAAATAATATAATTGACGAATCGCGTCATATTTCCTTAAATTCACACCAATTCTATTATAATACCGTACGGCTACACGGAAAAAAATGCAGCACTCCGGAACGGGGTCGCTACGCACTCCCGACCGCCGTCGGTTGGACGTTTCGTCTATTGCAAAGTACGCCGTCTCCGCGCGCCCGCTCCGAGATTACGATCAGCCTCCGGACCGGTGCACGACAATATTTCAATGTCGCGTGCATTAACAACAACGACAACAGCAGCACGGAATTCGCTCCGTGTCACTGCAACAGTGCGACCGCGCAATCAAATGTCCGTATTGAATTAGAAGCGGCCCGCGGATAAGTCCGTTTCGGTGTACGCGGCGGGGCTCCGCGCCCGTTTTATCGCGTTTCGTAAACACTCGCAGCGGCCCGGCCAGAAATCGTCAACGGCCGTATTAACAGTGCACCGGATAATCGAAACAACGTCCCCGATCACCGACCGCGCGTGCGTTCGTACACGGCGATATGTCCGCGTATGCGCGCGTTCAATATGCGCATAATGCAATTATACGCGCGTATTAGGACGAAATAACGCGTAACGACGAGCGCGATAGGTGCACACGAATGATATCGCGATGTTATTAAATTGCACCCGTACGAATGCGATTGCGAATTCGTATGATAACGTGTACGACGGCGATTGAAACGGTCGAACATTTGGATGGGTACACGATTGTGTTTGCCGAAAACCCAGGGACGTTTTCCGAACGCCAACCCAACAACCCGTCGTCGGAGACAATCTTTCCGAAATGGTTTTTCCCTCGCGCACAGTTTCGTACGTAAAAACGTGTTATGCTAACAATAAACTGTACCCCGGCCCTTCCTTCCGAATATCGTCCAGCGCATACGTATTGAATAATTAGTATTATTAAAGAACACTAATCCGAATTTTAAAAATTACGTTAAAAAGTCCCAGTGACAATAACTAAAGCGTCCCACCGGACTTTAAAGACTCAAACTAAAGGGGACCCATAATTTCAACTTAAATAAAAAGAGAAATCCGTCCCTCTCCGTCCACCTTACTTTAACCGCTGACTAAAGAGCAAGCTATACTAACTAAATACTACCATGGACCCAAATAGAAATTATTGTCTACCCAATGAGAAAGAAGTCAAACGGTATGATACGCACGAATAGTGTACCATATTGGTATTGTAATATTAGATTTAGAGCGTAGCGAGGAATGTATTGACTATACAATAATGTTTATTTATTTTTGTTTTAGATTCTGAATGAAGCGAAGAAGCTTATGGTTTTACAAAGGTGTTTATTCTTTTTTTTTTATCTGTAAACAACTTTTTTACCAGAAGACTTGCTTGAATATCTAAATGTAGCAAAATCGGTGTGGGATGGGTACTTAAGAACAGTCGTTTTTTGATTTCATCAAGAGTTTTTTCATAAAATTTGAAAAACTGGGAAAAAACAAGGAAAACCGTAGGGAAATTAGGAAAATCGGTAAAACATTAAACTAACATTATTAAAGAAAACGTAAAGAGCCTATTTAATTATTTCGCTATATTATGGCATATAATGTATATTGTTGACAAAGCATCACTATTAAATGATCAGTACCAGAATCGTTTATTCGTTAGCAATGGTTTATCGTTACTTATAGATAAATATTAAATAAAGATTAAATAAACGGTTTCGATAATATACCCCTTTGGGAGGGCTGGAGAGGGAAACAGCCAAAATTAAATTTGCTCGAAACAGCCGTAATATCAGTAGATGAGATTACTAGCCGGTTCGCGATAAACATATCACAGCGCAAAATATTATGTGTGTTTGTGTGTGTGTGTGTGTGTGTGTTTGCGTGCAGTATGTGTACGTCGAAGAATCGTATCGACCGATTTTTTTGTCAACCGAATTGGATTGCCAACGAAACGTGGGTCGTAAATAATTGCGCAAACAACGGACGTATATAATATGATAATACCGCACAATAATAATATTCACGTATACGGTCGTCGTGTTCTGTATCGTAGGCGTGATCGACGATATTTTCCCTAAACGACCGCTGAGAAAAAAATATACAACATATATTATGTTTTTTAGACTCTCGACGATTATATAATATCGTCATAGATATCTGGTATACGGTTATCAAAAAAATAAAATAAATTATATTAATGTTATAAATGTGTTGTGCAATAAGTAACACGTTAATATGAAAATGAAAAAAAATTTTCGAGAGGAGAGAGGAGAGAGCAATCAGAAGCAGCAAGAATCGTAATGGAAATAATCGTAGGAGGAAAGAAGCAGAAGAGAAGGCCGAAAAATAAATGGTCAGATACGTTTGAGAACGATACGAGGACGGTGGGTATATGCGAGAACGATGTGGGGGATCGGCACAAGAGAAAATTTAGGACCAGGGTGACCAACCCCAAACAGTTGACATGATGACGAAGGAGCAGAATCTTATGTTATGTGTGTCCACACACTGTATAATAGTTACGCGTAATAAATAAGTAATAAATACTATTTGCATATAAACTCAATTGTAGTAAAAAGAAGGATACCCGACATACTTTGCACCATGGGTGGTTGTAGATAGGAAATCGGGAGATATGGAAAATGTGTAACATATATAATTAGTTTAAATTTCACTTGTGCAGGTTTACTGAATAATAATAAAGAAAAAACCAAGATCGGAAATAACAGAAAACACGGTTTTTCTCGACCATTAAAAATCCACAATAAATATAAAAAATGACCTCCGCAATGTACGAACAGACGAAAAAAAATCGTTACCAGAAACCGCCCTTGGTTTTAATGATTGGAACATGATTTCTAGTAGAAAAGTTATTTATAATAGGTGAAAAAAATTCAACTTATTCCCCGGTACGTTCAGAGAATCTAAAAAAAAAACCACGATATATACAGGTATCGACGGACGTAAAACTTTGTGGTGTTCACAACTATATACATATATATTTTTGTTCAATACCGAAAGACGATACGAAATTAAAAAACTCACCTTGAACTGCTTGCGTCAAATTTCCGAGCTAAACAAGTTTTGTGCACATAAATCGAAAAAAAAAACTTGCAATTTTCACATTATTATATACCAGTCTGGAAAAATGTTAATATAAAATTTTCGATATGAATGTTAGATCCCTACGGTTATTTATTACCGGATTGCAACCCGAAAAACAAAATTTATGTACACAACCCAATGTTGTATAGGGCTTTCCCAATACACATCAATTCGATTAAATATTTACAATCAAAAGCCATTACTGATGAAAGCTGTACATAAACGAGTTATAAACTGCAGTTGATGAATATTGTAATAATTAGGGAACAGATTTATCTATGCACTTAAAATTCACAAAAAAGCATCTAAGAATATTTAAAATACCAAAATTGGTAAAGCGAGTGATTTTAAAATCTCCCGTATAACGGTTCTAACCCTATTAAAAAAAAAATGTTAACACTGATAAATGATTAACACGATGCATTTGTGTTTATATAACACGTACAAATGTATTTTAAAAAAAATTATTTCGCGATAGTTTTTGTAGTGTTGAAAAAGTATTTTTAATAAGTTATGGAACCATTACAGGTTGGGGGGCTTTTAAACTCCTCTACCATTTTTGCTCTTTTAAATATTTCTAAATGTTTTTAAGCAAATTTTTGTGGATTTTAATTGCATATAAATCCGTTCCCCAGCAGTGATTATAAAATAAAACAAGCTAATTTCAGTTTCTTTTAATTAATTATAATTTACAATCGCTAGATCGCATAATATTATAGCAACATATATAAACTATTAGGATATGAACACCGTATAGATAATCATTTTTTTTTAATTTTTACACTTGGTGCCTGGAGTTCCAAGTTAAAAATTGGTACAATTCGATACGCCCGGAATAAACCCACGTGTTCAATATTGTTTATTTTCATTTTCAACAAATGACCAACTCTTAGTTTAATCTAATTAATAAGTCAAATCATTTTTCAAATTAACTTTTAATTCAACTCAGTTAATAAACAGGACAACGAACTATTTATGTGTTGACTTTTTATGAAATAACGTAACTCATTAACCGTGTTAATAATATCCATTAACGTGCTTTGCAGTTGCTTGATGGTGTTGCTGACGTTGATGCAAGTCGTTTCTGCACATTACAGAAAAAATAAGAAGGAATAAATCATAGAGTTAAAAAAAAAATACAAAATAAAAAATAACCCCCGGCATCTACCATATTATAATAAAAACTATATCGATTGCATATTGTCATC